CACTTGGGGGTGGGGGAATTTTTCACACCCTTGAGTGCTGTAGCTATTTAAATGTAGACCAGGCCCGAGGATTTGTCCTGCAGCTCGTCAGTAGTAGTAGCAGCAGCAGCAGCAGAATAGCACCTTCTACATAAAGTAACAGGCAAGAGTGAAGTGCTATAGCCCACCAGACCAGAAGTATGAAGTAGACGAGGCTTTCTTCGGACAATTAACAGAAGTTTCCAGATCACAGGCCCTGGTTCTCATGGTGGACTTCAATCACCCTGACATCTGCTGGGAGAGCAATACAGCAATGCACAGACAATCCAGGAAGTTTTTGGAGAGTGTTGGCGACAACTTCCTGGTGCAAGTGCTGGAGGAACTAACTAGGGACCGTGCTCCTCTTGACCTGCTGCTCACAAACAGGGAAGAATTGGTAGGGGAAGTAGAAGTGGGCAGCAACCTGGGTAGCAGTGACCATGAGATGGTCGAGTTCAGGATCCTGACAAAAGGAAGAAAGGAGAGCAGCAAAATACGGACCCTGGACTTCAGAAAAGCAGACTTTGACTCCCTCAGGGAACTGATGGTCAGGATCCCCTGGGAGGCTAATATGAGGGGGAAAGGAGTCCAGGAGAACTGGCTGTATTTTAAAGAAGCCTTATTGAGGGTGCAGGAACCAACCATCCTTATGTGCAAAAAGAATAGCAAATATGGCAGGCGACCAACTTGGCTTTACAGAGAAATCTTCGGTGAGCTTAAACACAAAAAGGAAGCTTACAAGAAGTGAAAACTTGGACAGATGACTAGGGAGAAGCATAAAAATATTGCTTGAGCATGCGGGGATACAAGTACTGTAGTGTATCGGGGGTAGCCGTGTTAGTCTGTATCCACAAAAATAACAAGGAGTCCGGTGGCACCTTAAAGACTAACAGATTTATTTGGGCATAAGCTTTAGTGGGTAAAAAACCCACTTCTTCAGATGCATGGAATGAAAATTACAGATGCAGGCATTATTATACTGACACATGAAGAGAAGGGAGTTACCTCACAAGTGGAGAACCAGTGTTGACAGGGCCAATACAATCAGGGTGGATGTAGTTCACTCCCAGTGATTGATAAGGAGGTGTCAATTCCAGGAGAGGCAAAGTTGCTTTTGTAGTGAGCCAGCCACTCCCAGTCCCTGTTCAGTCTGTTAGTCTTTAAGGTGCCACCAAAGTACTGTAGTGCAATCTCCATCTTGAAAGTTGAATTTACAAATGCAAAATTATGTACAAAAAACCTGCATTCAAAAATAAAACTGTAAAACTTTAGAGCCTACAAGTCCACTCAGTCCTACTTCTTGGTCAGCCAATCACTCAGACAAACAAGTTTGGTTACAATTTTCAGGAGATAATGCTGCCTGCTTCTTTTTTACAGTATCACCTGAAAGCGAGAACAGGCATTCACATGCCACTGTTATAGCTGGCATTGCAAGATATTTACATGCCAGATGTGCTAAAGATTCATATGTACCTTCATGCTTCAACCACCATTCCAAAGGACATGCTTCCATGCTGACGATGAGTTCTACTGGATAATGATCCAAAGCAGTGCAGACTGACGCATGTTCATTTTCATCATCTGAGTCAGATGCCACCAGCAGAAGATTGATTTTCTTTTTCTTTTTTTGGTGGTTTGGGTTCTGTAGTTTCCACATCAGAGTGTTGCTCTTTTAAGACTTCTAAAAGCATGCTCCACTCCTCGTCCCTCCCAGATTTCGGACGGCACTTCAGATTCTTAAACCTTGGGTCGAGTGCAGTAGCTATTTTTAGAAATCTCACATCGGTACCTTTTTTGCGTTTTGTCAAATCTGCTGTGAAAGTGTTCTTAAAACAAATGTGCTGGGTCATCATCGGAGACTGCTATCACATGAAATATATGCAGAGTGCGGGTAAAACAGAGCAGGAGACATACAATTCTCCCCCCAAGGAGTATAGTCACAAAGTTAATTGACGCATTATTTTTTTAACAAGCATCATCAGCATGGAAGCATGTCCTCTGGAATGGTGGCCAAAGCATGAAGGGGCATACGAATGGTTAGCATATCTGGCATGTAAATACCTTGCAACGCCAGCTACAAAAGTGCCATGCGAATGTCTGTTCTCACTTTCAGGTGACATTGTAAATAAGAAGCAGGCAGCAGTATATCCCATCAATGTAAACAACCTTGTTTGTCTTAGTGATTGGCAGAATAAGACGTAGGACTGAGTGGACTTGTAGGCGATAAAGTTTTACACTGTTTTGTTTTTGAGTGCAGATATGTAACCAAAAAAAAATCTGCATTTGTCAGTTACACTTTCACGATAAAGAGATTGCACTTCAGTACGTGTATGAGGTGAATTGAAAAATAGTATTTCTTTTGTTTATCATTTTTACTGCGCATATATTTGTAATAAAAAATAATATAAAGTGAGCACTGTGCACTTTGTATTCTGTGTTGTAATTGAAATCAATATTGAAAATGTAGAAAAACATCCAAAAATACTGAATACATTTCAATTGGTATTCTATTGTTATAAGTGTGATTAATCGTGATTAATTATTTTAATTACAATTAATTTTTTTTAGTTAATCGCGTGAGTTAACTGCGATTAATTGACAGCCCTAGTTTGTTGTAAAGAAATCGTTGATAGCGCAGAACTGAAGCAATCTATCACTTTACTCATTTCTTAATTCTATTCCTTCTTTTCCCTTGACATTCTCCCAGTCAGTGTTATCACTCCCAATCTTGGCATTAAAGTCCCCCATTATGAAGAAAACCTCTAGATGGGGTTCATGAAATGTCTGCTTGAAGTTCAGTATAAAACTCGTTTATGGCACTGTCTTCTGCATACGTTGCACCTGCATATGTTGCAGGTGTTTTATAGTCACAGGACCATCTTTCCCCAGTAGTTTAATGCTCCTTATGTGTGAAAACATGAACCTACAGCTTTTCAAAAAGCTGTAAGCTTTTTCTGATAAAATAAAGGCAACTCTGACCAAAAGCACCCCTGTATTCACCCCCTTCACACTATTGTAATAATCTTTGTACAATATATGTCTTGTGAGGTATCATTTGAAAACTAATAACTCACTGGTCAATAACAGCATGGTGAAAAGTATGTAGCAACATTACGTGTAAAGTTATGAAATCCCCCTGTATGATGTAATTAGCACATGTTCAAATAAACACAGGCCTGACTCAGCAAAAGTTGTTAAACAGATCTATCCAGGCTGGATTTCCAATTACTCATAGTAGACTCATGCTTAGGGACGCTGGTGTTTTAGGGGTGCCTAAAGATTCAAAGTTTGTTGCTCTTGGGTCCAGCAGGGGGGCGGGGCCGGCTGAGGGGGAGACAGCCCCATGCAGTCCGGCTGAAGCGTTCCTGGCAGCAGGGAAGGCGAAGCAGCCTCCTGTGGCAGGGGAAGAACTCAGAGCAGTCCAACGCAGGGGGCCCTGCTGGGCAAGTGGGTCCTGAGGGAGCCCGGCCTGGGCAGGCCCTGCTCCTGCTCCAGCCTAGCTGATCGTGCCGTTCCCGAAGGGCCATGGCAATCCCTGATTGGCCCCGACCACACTGCCGGTTCAGCCCAGCAGACACAATCATCTCCCAATGGGGCCGGTGAGTCCAGCTTGGGGGCAGAAGGGTGCGGGACAGTGGATCTCTAGGGAGGGTTGGGGGGGAGCTCTGGTCAGTGGGGGAGGTCTGTGTGTGTTGGGGTACTGGGCAGTGGGGGGTCTAGACGGGGCACTGGACAGTTGTGGTGGTGGGACTGAGTGGTGGGGTGTCTAAAAGTTAGAAGCGGCGGGGTAACCCCATTGCCTGCGGTGGCTTGGCGCTCCAGGCTGCCACCAGGCAGCAGGAGCGGGACCCCCGGAGCTCTGAGCCCCTGTGGGCGGGGGGAGAGGGGAGTGCAGAGTTGGGGCCTCCGCAGCTGCCCAGCCACCCAGGGGTGCTCAGGGGCTCGCAAGGTGTAAAGCCGGCCCTGGATCTATCAAAAACCAAGGCATGTCTGTTTACCTCAATTTACATATATGTAGTAAACATGGTCCTCAAGGCAGCAGGGAGAGGAGTTGGCAGGAGACCAGGCAAATTTGCATTTCAGCAAATACAGGTGAAAAGAAAAAACATGGAGCCTTCTTCGCCACTAGACTCCATGTCACCTTCTTTACTGTTTGAATAAACTTTGTTTTGAGGGGTAGCCCTCAAAACAAAGAACTCAAGTTGCAGTGGGGGAGGTTTAGGTTGGATATTAGGAAAAACTTTTTCACTAGGAGGGTGGTGAAGCACTGGAATGGTTACCTAGGGAGGTGGTGGAATCTCCTTCCTTAGAGA